GTAGTCAAGAGTTTTTATGAAAAACAAAATTAGCTTCGCTCTCATTGGTCGTACGACAACTTTCTCTTTTTTTTTTGTAAATAAACTCATCGTACCCTACAGCTATGTTCACTGTGCCCGCAGGGGGGCAGAATGAGCATTTTTAAGAACTATATTTTACTATATGATAACTAATTATTTATTGATTTATATATTTTTTATTTCGGGTAGTTTTATTCTATGTGTCACGCTCTGAAAGATGCTCAGCTGGAGAATTATATTTAAGGTGGAAAAAAATTGTAAGAGTGTAAACAATAATGGGTGCCCGTCATGCCCTACTATAAGGTACTCACGAGTCGCGAGAGTTCAGAGTTGACTAAAACTTTAGAGGACAGGTGACAGACGTACAGAGAGCGATTTTTCCTCTTGATGGTGCGTTTTTATAGTATCAGAGCGAGTAAAAATGACCTTTAGCTGATTTAGGTCAACCAATGAGCAATGTTCTTGCAGACTGCGTTGACAGTTGTACGATGATATTACATGTTACGATTTTACATATTAGGAAATAACAATACAACAGGATCAATCGCATTTTCTGACAAGTGTGATTGAGTTTTTGGGTCAGTGATGATGAAAGCTCGCATCAGCAATATAAGAACGTCAAATACAAGTTCAATTGTGACAGTAAGTTTACAAATTTCGACATTATTCCTTCTGAGGATTTTACAATCAATTTTGAATATAATGAAGTATTGTGTGAATTACAAATTTTGAATTAGTATACATTATCAGAATTGAACAATTAATGAGCAAGTAACTGTTCATTTATACATACATGCATTTTCACGAGGCTGGCCGTATTCTATGTCAGCAAATTATGAAGCATTTACCTTAAAACTAATACAGACACGCGCACACTTAAGCAACGTACGAGCTCCTCTTGTCATATGAGCTTGCTTTATATTCACAATACGTCTTATCTGAATTTGACGGATGGATAGCTTTTAGTTATAATATAATTCGTATCAACTCGGGATGTAACACCATACCAAAGGCTTCTCTAATACTAATGTGTATTTATTAATATATAAACAGCATATCAAAATCATAACATCCAAGTTCAGACTTCTAGCTTTTATAACTAAAAATCTAGAATGAAGGCCCCACTGAAAATGACATGTATTATTCATGATTGCAACAATATCTTGAAATAAAAATATCTAAATAAAGTCGAAGGGCCGAGTATTTTACGGTGATTTTCTGCCATTCGCTTAAGGCAAAAACATCAAAGTTAAGTTTTCTGGCTTTTCTAGCTAAAAATTAAGAATGAAGTTCCCGTTGAAAATAATACACATTGTTTATTAGTATATAAACAATTTATCATAATTGAAATACCTCAGAAAAAATGAAGGGGTGGGTCATTTTACGGCGATTTTCTGCCACTTGATTAAGGCAAAAGCATCCGTATCTCACACTTCTCGCTTTTATAGCTGAAAATTTAGAAAGAAGGCCCAGCTCAAAGTAGTATGTATTATTTGTTACTCCCCCTTCGTTTTT